ACTTATGTTGTATTTACTGTATACCTTACACTTAAATGTTGTACTTAGAAGACTCTGAAATGAATCTAGTCCTCACACACACACTCAGCCACTCAACCAGATGAACTGTCACAAGGTTAGTGACCTCCCCACATACGCCGTAAAAGTAATGATATAATTTCCGGATAACTGTCTATTTTCCGGATAACAATATCTATTATCCTGACATTATAAATTTTCTGGATAAAAATATTTATTATCCACAAACAACATTTACTTTTCCGATAATAAAATCTACTATCGGAAAAAATATTTTCCTCAAAGCAGAATCCATTTTCCGGATAACAGTATCAATAATAGTACGTATTTTCTGGATAAGTGGTCAATATCCGGATAAAGAGTATCAACAGGATAAAAGCGTCAATTTTCCGTATAATAGTACCTCGACCTACACACCTACTGAACTCACTTCTCTGTCTGACCTGCCTTTATGACCTACGCTCGTCTGTCCGCCTGCCCTGCCACTCACATTCCTGGCCTTGTTTACCTGTGTAACCTTCCCAGCTGACCTTACTAACTATTTGACCTATCTACCTGTGCGACTTACTCACCAACCTTATCTACCTGTACGACCTACTTACCTGACCTGTCTACCTGTTCAACCTACTTACCTGGCCTGTCTACCTGCACCAAACTACCTGTGCGACCAACCTATCTTACCTGTCTACCTATGTAACTTACCCCTACCTGCCTAGCCTACCTGTTTGGCCAGTTCAGTTGCTCACAAGAAAGTGTTAACTCAACCTGTAACCTGTGGCTGGGGAAGATGACTTTGGTTGACCTTTTGTATATTATAATCAGTAGAGGGCATCGTTCTCGTTCTTAATTCAGGTGTGTGTGTGTGTGTGTGTGTGTGTGTGAGAGAGAGAGAGAGAGAGAGAGAGAGAGAGAGAGAGAGAGAGAGAGAGAGAGAGAGAGAGAGAGAGAGAGAGAGAGAGAGAGAGAGAGAGAGAGAGAGAGAGAGAGAGAGATACACACGAAGGAAAGTGGGAGCGTGGTAAAACAAAGTAAAAGGTTACAAGGAAATAGTGTTAGGAATGATGACAAAGCTAAATTAGACAGCGAGTTAAGACCGAAACGCGGTAAAGGAGGACTCAGAACACGACTAACCTAAATGTCTACAATACGCAAAACAGCAGAAGTATGAAACAAAATGGATGATGTTAGGCCTTTGGTATGTACCGAAAATCGATATAATAACATTCACTGAAACATGGATCAACCTAGACTCACGGAGCGCCGGGTCGAATAATAAATTATGGATTACAAATTGTTCTATACCGATAGTCAGCTCCAGGAAAGGAGGAGGAGAGCACCTATGCTCAGGATAACTGAAGTGCGAAAATGAATAAGGAAAATAAACCGAGCGGAATACAGAAACAATTTGATAGAATTAATCGACGGTAGGGAAAATTAAATCATAGGAGTAATATATAGACCTTCTAATCTTGATAGAGTTAATGAGCGACTTATCTTTGGGATGAATGCCAGGGCTTCCATACACAACAAAGTCTGCATAGTAGGCGATTTTAACCTGGCCAAATAGATTGGACTGACCTTACGGGTAACTCAGTAACAGAGGATTTCCTCGAAACGATCCAGGACTGTTTCCTAAGTCAACATATAACAGAACCTACACGTAATAATATACTCGATTTAGTTCTGTCGAACAGAGAAAGCGCCTATTAGCAATGCGTCGAGGTAGGAACGAACTTGCAAACAGCTTATCACAAAGAAATTAGATTCCAGTTAGATTTTCAGGTCAGACGTTAGGAAAATTCCATTAAAGTCCCAGATTTCAGAAGGACAAACTTTGATAGTTTAAAGAGGCAGCTGGAGAGAGGGGTGTCGCGCTTGGGCGTGAACCTGACAGATGACACGGACCTGATAATGAGATCTGAGATTGCCGAGTTCCACGGCAATTTAAATAACGAGTTATTTAATGCACAAAGGCAGAACATACTATACAAAAAACTCAGATCAGACAACAATGACCCTAAATGGATAAATAATTATTTAAAGAACATAATTGGCCAAAGGAAGGCTATAGGAAGAAGGATAAATCGATGCGAAATTTTCCTCCGGGAGTAATATAAGGTATTGGCCGGTAGGGTTAAGACCGAGATAAGAAAAGCAAAGAGAAATAATGAACTGAAGATAGCAAGGGAGGCGAAGACAAACCCCAAAGGATTCTACCAAATGTAACAAACTAAAACACGAGATAAGATTGGACCAATACGTTCAGATACCGTACAGCTAACTGATAACGGCGGAGAAATGAGCAATAATCTGAATAAATATTTTTCTTCAACAGTTTTCACCACTGAGGCACCAATTTCATTCAGAGGTGAAGAAAACAAATTAAGCGAGATAGTAGTGACTAGAAACGATGTTAATGAGCAAATAGACAAACTGAAGCCTAATAAGTCACCTGGTCCTGATGAGATATTTGCTAGAGTATTAAAGGAATGTAAGGTAGAGCTTAGTATGCCCTTAGCAAAGTTGTTAACATGTCACTAAAAAACAGGTGTAGTACCAGAATCCTGGAGGATAGCTAATGCACACCCATTTTCAAGAAGGGATAGCTCACTATCTCTAACTACCGTCCAATCAGTCTAACATCAATAGTAGGCAAATTACTAGGAATCAATCATTTCAAACTCTATTCGAAATCCACCGAGAAGCACAAGTTGATCAATGATTCCCAGCATGGCTTCACAAGCGGCGTTCATGTCTAACTAATCTATTAACATTCTTTTCATCAGTTTTCGAATCGGTGGACGAGGGGCACAATTATGATGTGGTATATCTCGACTTTAGCAGAGCCTTCGACAGAGTCCCCCACGAAAGACTAATTAGAAAGGTAGAAGCTCATGGCATCAAAGGTAACATCCTTAAATGGATTAGGGCATGGTTGCAGGACAGGAAACAGCGAGTGAGCATTAACGGCACTAAGTCCCATTGGAGCAACGTCACAAGTGGAGTTCCCCAAGGCTCAGTACTTGGACCATTATTATTTATTATATACATAAACGACATAGATATCGGCATAGATAGCAACATAAGTAAATTTGCTGATGACACTAAAATAGGACGTGTAATTAAATCTAACGAGGACTCCGCAAAACTACAGGAAGATCTAAACAAATTTTTTGAATGGTCGAAAAAATGGCAGATGAAATTCAATGTGGACAAATGTAAAATACTCAGTATAGGAGATGTAAACAGGGAAACCAGTTACCAGATGAACAACGATGCCATTGTGGAATCCGACTGCGAGAGAGATTTAGGAGTAATGATAAGTAGGAATCTTAAGCCAAGTAAACAATGTGTTTTTGCTCGTAACAAGGCTAATAAAGTACTTGGGTTCATACAAAGGAGTGTTAGTTACAAGACTAGCGAGGTCATCTTAAAATTATATCTAGCGCTTGTGAGACCTCACCTGGATTATGCAGTTCAGTTCTGGTCACCGTATTACAGAATGGATATAGAATCATTGGAAAGAATTCAGAGGAGAATGACAAGACTAATCCCTGGCATTAGGAACCTTGAATACAGAGACAGGTTAAAGCATCTTAATTTGCACTCCCTCGAGAGACATAGAGCGAGGGGCGACATGATAGAGGTGTATAAATGGAAGTCAGGGTTAAACAAAGGGGACATTACAAAGGTACTCAAACTATCCAACCAGGAGCGAGCTCGTAACAATGGTTTTAAATTAGACAAATTTAGATTTCGGCGTGAAATAGGTAAACACTGGTTTGGAAACAGAGTAGTGGATGAATGGAACAAGTTACCAAATATCATCATTAACTCGAATACGCTGGATAGCTTCAAACATAGGTTGGATGCTTATATGAGCAATAGGGGTTGGGTATAAACGGGACTGCCAATAGGCCCTCTGCAGTTTCCTCCATTCTTATGTTCTTATGACATACAAACACACGGCCCCACCCTCTCCCTTCCGTGTCACGAGGCGGTTGTATGAGGCAAGATGCACTTATTTGCCACACCATACCTTGAGAGAGAGTGTGTGTGTGTGTGTGAGAGAGTGTGTGAATGAGAGTGTGTGAGAGTGTGTCAGTGAGAGAGTGAGAGTGTGTGTGAGAAAATGTGTGAATGAGAGTGTGAGGGAGAGTGTGTGAATGAGAGAGTGTGTGAGTGAGAGTGTGTATGTGAGTGAGAGTGTGTGTGTGTGTGAGTGTGTGAGGGAGAAAGTGTGTGAGTGAGAGAGATTTGTCCTATCCTCTGCACACTCACGGGTCAAACACCTCAATCAGGTAACGTTCTCCTGACCCCTTTCGTATGTCTTACCTCAACGTTACATGTGCGTGGGGAGCAAACCTGAAATCTGATGGACAACTCACACACACACACACAAGGCAACTTTCATAACGCACAAAACACATTGCTATTGATTATTATCGCGGGGGATCGTAAGATGTAATGGTGGATAAAATTGGACAGATTTCTTCTTTTTTTATTATTTGCAGCCAGTTTTTTTTTTAAATAAGTGCGTCAGATTATAAACTGATTCCCCAGATTTCACTATGAGTTTGTTTCTCTTCGCGATATATTTAACAGATTTCGTCAACTATAAATCGGAGAGGAGATTAATATTTGTGTTAAGTTAAGATATAATGCTCTTCTTACTGGTACATTAAGCAGATTTTATCCATCCTAAGTCAAGAGACAGATTAACACAGACGTTGATTTTCAGATTTCAACATTTATATTTTTTTTCATTAATAAATCTTCTTCCGCTCAAAAACAAAGATCACGCAACAGATTAACACTTGCCTCAACTTACAAACAGATTCACAGATTTCAACATAACATTTCTTGTTGATAATAAACTAACCTAACCACTGTAACTTCTCTAGGACGTGAAAGTGGTTTATATTAATTTAACTTACAAATTATAATCTCTAGTGCTGCTGCCGAATGGATACAACACTCACTTCTTGTGCTCCAGGCCGTTGGTTCGAGGTTGGGGCACCCTCAGTCGACCCAGCTGTGGAAGAGAAAGTAGTCGAATTAAGTACCGATAAAAGGCTTAGTATTATAACAAACTGACTTAGAGGTTTACACATAACTCAGGCCAGTAATATTCTCAAAGAAATGTTTACGACTTGTTCTTTGTGTAAGGTTACAACAAAGTTAGGTGCATTATAAAGACATTAAACACGGTTCTATACAACTGTTATTCGGGTGTTGTGCCATTTACGTTTTTCATGAATTTCGGAACTGACTGTGTGTGTGTGTGTGTGTGTGTGTGTGTGTGTGTGTGTGTGTGTGTGTGTGTGTGTGTGTTCCAACTGGCGACATACTCCGTAGACTCACACACCTGGATTAATCACACACACACACACACACACACACACACACACTACATCCTTGACCACCGAAGGGTCAAGACGTACCTGGCGCTCCTCTCGGAGCAGCCAGGTCAACTGTTATGTTGGCCCATACCAAATCCCTCCCCTGAACCCTCCTCCCCACCGGAATATCAACATGTTCTCGCCAGAAGTTACTATTTCATTTAGGAAAGGAATGGAACCAGTGTTAAACAGAGGTGAACAGTGGTGAACAGTGCTTAAGTCAGTGAGAACAACTCAACAGTAACAGTCGTACCCAAGTTAACCTTCACACAGTGAGGTCCCAGGTACCCAGTGATAACGGCCCGTGAGACCCAACAACCAGCGATGTGTTAATCCGTCTACGATAGGAAGGCCTGGAACCACACCTCACTCATATAACACCATCTGTGAGGGAATTACTACACCACGTGAGGCCCCTCATAACACCATATGTGAAGGAGTTACTACACCACGTGAGGCCCCTCATAACACCATCTGTGAGGGAGTTACTACACCACGTGAGGCCCACGAGGCCCCTCATAACACCATCTGTGAGGGAATTACTACACCACGTGAGGCCCCTCATAACACCATCTGTGAGGGAATTACTACACCACGTGAGGTCCCTCCTAACACCATCTGGGAGGGAGTTACTACACCACGTGAGGCCCCTCATAACACCATCTGTGAGGGAATTACTACACCACGTGAGGTCCCTCTTAACACCATCTATGAGGGAATTACTACACCACGTGAGGCCCCTCATAACACCATCTGTGAGGGAATTACTACACCACATCAGGTCCCTCCTAACACCATCTGGGAGGGAGTTACTACACTACGTGTTTGCTGTTCAACACCTACAATAATCTGCATGTTCACTGTATGTTCCTTCACCTTTCTCTAATGAAGGCTTTTGTTAAACCACCAATGTATGTAATAAGTCATTTATGTCCAATGTATATTTTCAGCCTTCCGGCTGCAGAACTTTTTCAATAAACCGTAAATTATTATTATTATTATTACACACACACACACACACACACACACACACACACACACACACAAACAAAATCTCAACGTTCCTATACAAGGCTGTTATTTTTTATTATGATTTATTCGGATAATTGGTTAAAGGGCAGAAAACAAACGCAGACTCAGAGAGATAAGTTTCTCATGAAAGTCTTTAATTAAGTCCTTCGTGACGATATATTAGGACTAGTTATCACTCTGATTCCTTTGCCACCACACAAACTGTTATTATTGAAACTATTTTTATCAATAATCGATCCCAAAGATGTTTACCTTCCCCGATAACTCACCGAAGTGATTACCTTCAACTAATCACATCCCTGGGTGACCGCCACAGAGGTAATCATTGGCTAGGAGCGTCATGTTGGTGTCCTAACGTGTATCTTTATGTCTGAACACGAATGCAGTGATCCAGCAGCCAATGATTACGTCTTTGGTCGTCACCCACGGATGTGATTGGTGGAGATCATCTCTGAGGACTGTAAACATGGTAGTATCTGGTGGCCCCTCCTCCCTTATTTATACCCCAATATAGATTAGAAATAAACTTCAATAAGCAATAGTTTTCCAAGTCAATCTTGTAAGTGCAATAATTCAATGTTTGGATACTTTGATTCTCACTTTTTGTACCAGTTTATTTAATTCTCTAAAATTTAGGATTTTTTAAAGTTAATTTAGTATTTAAGTTCATTATTTAATTTACTGGTTTAAGACCAGTAAATGACTGAAGGATCACCCGTATATTTCCTTAAGTGTTCAGTAATTTATTTCTGATTTCCGTACAATTTCTTCTGTGAATTTAGTAATTTGATTCAAAATTTCATTAATTAATATTAGACTACAAAAAAAATTACATTAGAATTCAGATATATATTGAAATTTCACTAAATTACTTAAGATAAATATATGAAATTCCTAGTACAGTACATAGAGTAGAGTACATTAAGGCAAAAACAGACGTGTATTTTAGCTGAGCCACTTAAACTCGTTGTAAGTGAGCCATTTACAGAAGTGAGCAACGAAGCTGAGTTATTTACAGAACTGGCTTATAAGTGAGCCATTGAGAGAGATATCATTTACAGGCGAGTCATTTACAAAGGTGGGGTGTATGAGAGTGAGCTGTTTACACGGTGGTGGGTTTTAAGTGACCAATTTAAAGCTGAAACATTCAACAAAGATGAATTAAAACTGATACTATTTACAATGGTTAGTAAGCGTGAACAACTACTGATAAATGCGAGTCTTTACTATGATATTTACAAAGACAAATCCTACCTGTGTCCTAGAAAGGTGAATCAAAACTGTTACTAGTTTACAGAGCCGAAGCACTTACCGAGTTGTCTCATAGGTGAAATATTTACTAAGGTGACTCATAGCTGTGGTATTTACTGAGGTGATGGGTCTGTTCTTGAGGATGGTCTCACACACACACACACACACACACACACACACACACACACACTAAAGCCACCTCACCTCGGGGGCAGAATATTTGCTCAACAAAAACCAAAATCTACGTTATTCATCCCCAAAAGAATTCTTATCCCCTTAGTAACAAAAGCATCTTTTACCAAATGGTCTTTGAGGGTAAAACTAAAATACTTGAGAGATATTTACACTTTGTTTACGATAATTAATTCACTCTGTCTTCACCTTGTCTGACTTCTACTGTGTGTCAATAGACGTTGTTAGTTTATGATAAGTTTTATGAAGGGATAATACGTTCGAGTTGATTTGGTTTATTTAGTAGTGGTAGAGTGACTTTTGAATTAGGACCAGGATTGTGGGTTGACTGACCTTGTGGTGCCCAGGATGAATAGGTTCGAAATTTAATAATCTAGTTAGGTTAGGTTAGGTTTTGGTTTGGTTTGGTTAGGTTTGGGTTGGGTTGGGTTGGGTTGGGTTGGGTTGGGTTGGGGTTGGGGGTTGGGTTGGGTTGGTATGGTTTGGTTAGGTTTGGGTTGGGTTGGGTTGGGTTGGGTTGGGTTGGGTTGGGTTGGTTTTGGTTTGGTCCGGTTACGTTAGGTCAGATTGGGTTGGGACAGGTCAGCTTGTGCTTATTAGGACTGAAGGCCACTTGACCAACAGGTGAAGGGGTTCAACAGTCTCGCCCCGTGTTTACTGTGACATCAGGCGGGTTGACCTGGAGAATTCCCCGTATGAGCCCCTAGGTCACTGGTTGACCCTCGATGTTCCTGGTACACAAGCTAGCTCTAGTGGGCAGGCTTTCACACGGGGTCAACTCCCTGTGTGTGTGTGTGGGTGGGAGGGGGGTAGGGAGTCAGGCGCGGTGACGTCAAGGAACCAAATCTGCACACGTCTACCCAAAGGTCACGTTACGCCTTTGGATATTTTGGGAAATGCCTCGATAAATCAATACCACGTCAAACATATATATCTGATGGTGGTGTATTGGTGGTTGTGGAGGAGGAAGAGGAGGAGGAGGAGTAGGAGGGGGGAAGAGGAGGGAGGAGGTTAGTGGCCTTTTGCTTGAGGCTCGTGACGTCAGATAGTTGCCGCCCCCCCCCCCGCCTCACAACCCTCCCTCTCGCCTGTGTCAATACGTGGCGATGGTGGTGGGCGTGATGCTGGGATGCCTGGCGTGTGGGGCGTGGGGAGGGATTCTCGTCCACGCACACCTACGGCACATTTTGTTTTCACCCCACCACCATTACCACCCAACCCCCATTCGCCACACACACACCACACGCGGTACAGATTTCACCTATTGCGTTTCATTCTTAAAACTGACTCTTTCCACAATATACCAAGTAAACCTGAATTTACAGTGTGTTTACCTTTCTCCTCCTTCCCTCTTATTCTTCTTCTTGTCCAGCCTCTCTCCCTCCCCTTACTCATCTTCCACACTCGTCCATCCTGTCTATCCTCCTCTCCCTCCTCCTGCCTATCCTTCCTCCGTCCCTCCCACCTCCTGCCTACCCTCGCCCTTTTCACTTTCATTACAGGCGTGTAAGATAAAGGTCAGGTGTCAACGGCCTCAGTAACTGACCTGACTCCCTCCCCAACAACCCCGACCACCACCACCACCACCACAGCAACCATGATGATGATGATGATGATGATGATGATGATGATGATGATGATGATGATGATGATGACGACGACTACGACGACGACGACGACGACGACGACGACGATGATGATGATGATGATGATGATGATGATGATGATGATGATGATGATGATCCCCAGACTCATATACAAGTCACCTCTAATCTAGACTCCTCCTCCTTCTCCTTTGTTTGTATCTTCATCCACCTACTTGTATTCTCCCTCCTCCCCTCTCCTTCCTCCCTGTCTCATTTCTCCCTCTCTCCCCTTACCCTCCTCCCTCTCTGTACTCGCTCTCCTCTCCCTCTCCCCTTACTCTCTTCCCCCCCTTCCTCCCCTCCTTCCCTCCTCCCTCTCCTCCCCCGCCCCCCCCAAGACGTCAGAGGTAAAGGTTAAACGCTTGGCAGATCCGACGAGAGGGAAAGAAGAAAATATTAAATGGCACTAAATAACCCGACAGGAGATTTAAAGAGGAATAAAAGCAAAGCCCCTTAAATTTATTCCCGTAATTTCAGACAAAACTAAATTAGACGTCATTCAAAGGCTTCAG